GTCCAGTCTGAGGTAACTCAGAAGCTATTTCAGTTTTCCAAATTGAAACCAAAAGAAATGGCTTCCAGTTCTCTGCAGTCCACACTGTCACAAAATACAACCTACACCTTGTTGAAGACGTGTGACAAGTACAGGGCTCAATTCTTAGTTACTGTTATCTATTTTCACAGTCTTAACACAATGAGGGAATAGCTAATTTTTTTCTTATATGCACATATATACCCATGTTAAGTATCTTTACATTACCAGATGCCTGCAAAAGGGTTTTCTTGTAGTAGAGAATGGAAGGCACAAAGGCCACCAGCCAATGTCTTCAGCCAGTGTGAATTTAGAGCTAAGGATCTGGCCACATGTCAAATTAAACAAAAGCATTTCTGAACTACCTGTTTTATTAATGGCATCTGACCTACTTTTACTAGCTCTAAGGACTCAGACTTCCCCTTCCCAAAAATAGAAGGTGGCACAGGGAAAAAAAAACAGTCRCTCTGGACAAACTAATGGGCATCAATGTTTGCAGACAGCCACAATTAAATTTGGGTGGTTCAGTACGTTTCTAATTAAGTACAATTAACATTTGTTCTTTACTTGTTAATTTTACATACCTCGCTGGTGTTCCAAACCTAGTTTCCCCTTATAGTCTATCCAAGCACATCCTAATGATGTGCCTCGCAATCCTTTATTAATACACAGACATAAACAATACAGAAATGCAATTAGACTGCTATGCACACATGGCCTGTTTCCTCTTTCACTGAAGCTGGTGGCAGCCTGTCTATGAACTTTGAAGACAGTAGCTTCAGACTTTGTATAGCTTTGCAGAGGGTTCAAGGCAAACATCTAGGTTTTGCCTCACTGTGATCCATGACCACAGAATCACATCCTTCCTCTCTCTCTACAGTGCTATTTCTACAGGAAATACTTGGCATGACCCTACCTTTGCATTGTAGACTAGCCTAGGAAGGAGTTAAAATCCTTTTCTTATCACTCCATGTCAAGTCAGTAGCAATTTCACTGAARACAATGGATCCACACCAGAGCGTAACAAACTCTGTGGTTTCCTGAGATGAAGTCTCTGGCATCAACACCCTGGTCCCTGCTACTCATTTTCATATTCAGGTTCTGGCATCAATCCCTTCATTCCCAGCTTGGTCTATCTCACAGATACCCAAGCTTTTGCTGACACAATGAAGGGTGTGGAAATAGGTAAAAATGAAGTTGCAACTGGGCAGAAATAATTTCAGATGTCTTTATTCACAAGAAGATTTCATATCTTGACACTATGGCCTGGGGAGGAGAGTGACAGAATTTACATATTGTCAGTATAGTCTGGGCAGATTTTTCAGTGACTATTGGTGAAGACATCTACAATACTTATGTGTTTCTCTACCTCTCTCTCACATGCACATGCACACAGGAAAAAAATAAGAGGCAAAACTCCCGAGACTGATGTGATGGCAAGGTTGTAARTTATTAATTTCATATTCAGTTTGAAGCTAAATGCAATTGATAGTTCAAGGATAGAGAGAGGTGGTTGAGTTGGGAGAGTTGAAGCACTCGGGATAAAATGTCAGTGTTGCATCTTTTGGCCAGTGAGTTAAACTTTGGTCAGAGCGTGATGAAGAATTTTTTTGATGGAAATATGAGTCAAGAAACATTAATGTCAAGCAAGTTCCAGACATGGAGACACTTGAAGCTCATGAGGGTTTAGGCAGGAGACCAGACTTTCTAACTTCAGAACCCACAGCAAACCCTGTTGCAACTGCCTTTCTGTGCACATGAATATGGGACATGGAACATGGGACATATCCGTTGCTTTTTCTGGAGTAAACTGACGCTGGATAAGAGTTCCTTAGAGAAAAATAGTAGTCTTTTAAAGATAGACTAATCATTAATGTTTTTATTTTTATTGTATTCTATTTGTATTCTCATTCTGACTTCTACTGCCTTTTGCCTCCTGTCTCTGAATTTTCTGGCTCTGAATAAGCTTAAAAAAATGCTTTATCCCCCAATTCTATTGTCTTTTGTGTGTTTACACGTTTTATGTGTTTTCTACCATAAGCAACATAAGTTGATCCTTCTTGTCTAGCTACCTAGCTAGTATCTAACAAAAGGTTATTAAGAAACAATAAAGTTTTTGAGCAGAGCAATTTTAACAGAAGAAAAAGAACAGAGAATTTTAATGATTTAATTGTTGGTCTCCATTTCAAAAAGACAATTTTGTTGTGCAATTTCACATCATTTATAAAATATTTGTATGAAGAAACCAAGGAAACTACTTGGCTGACCTCCTACTATTGGCCTAAGCAATGTGCAGAGGAGAGTTATGTAAATTGATTATATTAATATCAAAGTATTAAAATATGTCTGCATTTTCTTTAAAAGCAATAGAATCAACCGAGATATTTTTAGATTACTGAAACAGAAATACCGTCTGGAACAGAAATTGAAAGAAACAGCCAGAATACTCCACGGTTTCCCTAAAGGAGCTCGTAGTCTATATTCCTTCAAAAATGAAAACATCTGATTTTTGCTTTGTGAGTCATCCCCTCGCTTTCAGTGGTAATACTCATGTGTTATAAAGTTAAGAGAGTGTATAAATCTTAGAGTGAACAGAAGCCTGCTCTGCAAGATCTTAGCTGCAAGCGAATCCTTTTATTCTGAACGTGTGCAGTGTCCACTGGGGCCTTTATACTTTGCCATTACTGTAATAGAGTGAGTGATTGTAACCTGAGCGGGTCTATCGACTTAGGTGAAGATGTTTAAATCTATGCCTTGGAATAGGCATTGGGGAGTGCTCAGCATACGCACAGCAATATTTTAGCTTTGGAAACCTAATTCTGAAATTAATCCAAAGGTAAATCCAAAGAAAAGTCTCTAATGTGAAAATGATTTTGTCCTTTGGGTCTGCTGCACAAGGTGCATGTGTTATTTAAGCAAATGTCCTCTTATATTTCTACTCAGTCCTTTGTGTGGAGGAAAGTGCAGGGATAAACAGATTCTCCAGTGAAAATACCTAAACTTGCACAGATGTCAGCATGAGCAAGCCATGCCAGCTGCCAGACTAATCCACTTTGCTAGCTTCCTGGAGCAGGAGACGAGAAGTAATTATTCAAGTATATCTGTCTTYATATAGTAGCTAAACGTTACCCTCTTTTCCCTCTTAAAAATTCAATTCGTCCTCTGCAAAGCATTATGAACTATGTTCTCCAGACTCTACTTGTCCAGTGAGCATTTAAAGGAGGAGGAAAGGGAAGAAATTAAAGGAATTATAACAGAACAATTATGAAGGAAATTTAGAAGCATAACTGGAAACAAGTTTGTAACCAAGCCAAGAGCTCATGTTTAAATTATTACATTTTACTTTTGATCATCTATTGAAACACACTTCTAGTTGCCATTTAATTGAGTCTACAGTGTAGCAGAGTATCAAACACCTGCTTGAGTGGATTGATCTTTATTTCTGATGAATGGTTTTCTGTGTTGTAGTGTAGATCTGTGCTTGTTAACAGAAGGACATATATGGCAATGGAGGAGCACAGCTCCAGTTTCCAMAGGAAAAGAAAGAATTGGTTTATCAGCACTACGCTGAAATTTCAATCCAGAGTTTGCATAAATGCATAAATATTCAAAAAAAATCTAAAAGGTCCCAATTTTTCTTATGTGCTTTTCATAGGCCTTCTTTACTTAAAAGACATTGTAATTTCTTTCATCTTATACTTTACCTAGAAGCAAAAACAAATTATTACACAGGAATTTTCAATTTGTGCTTCTGTAATGTAACAGATAGAGAAAATATTGACCTCACCTGCCCTTGAAATAGAGAATTTCAGGTTATACCTATGCTAGCAAAAGGAGAGATTGATAGTGCCACCTCTTGGTGAGAAGGACACAGAAATCCATTGCCATTTGCACAACCCCCCAAAAAGGCATAATAGGAAAAATACTGTGAGCGTCTAAGAAGTGCTGACCACTCTTCCACTGATCCACAAAGCACTTATGAACATCCTTAATTTGAAGAAATCTGTTTGCCCTCATAAATTTATTGGAGTTCTTGTAATATTCTTACAGCTAAGCATGTGCTTAAATGTTCAGCTGGAGTGGCTCTGAAACGTAGTTCAATGATGATGTCAAAGAATCTGAATCATATGCAAAAAGTAATTAACTTCAACTGAAACTAAAGAAACTTTGGTTTCTAAATTTTCATTCTTAAATATATTTATTGTGTTGTATTCCAAACAGGTTGATATTTGAACCCTCCACTGGCAGCTTAACATTAATTCTCTTGTAGGTATCAAGTATTAATTGTTAAGATTATGGCAGAACTCGTGATTTGGGAAATGCTTTTGATGAGTCAACACACACATTTGTCATCATAAGAAACAAGGTTCCATGGAAGCCTTAAATACAGARAAGTGCCACATCAATATCAAGCATGTTTGTATGATGTCATTTATATTTTACCCTTTGGAAATATAAACTGGAGAGAACTAGGCACATTTGGTTTGGCCAACTTAATCTATGAATCAACAACATATCACCAGACAGATCAGACCTTCAAAATAGGGAAAAAAAATAGTTTTAAACTGCTTCTGTTGAAGTTCCACAAAAAAAACAAATCATACACAGGGTAATCTCCTCACGATGACAACACCAGAAAGCATGTGTGCATGGTAAGGCACTTCTACAAAGCTTCTCCCATAAAAATCAGAATGCAGTTATTGCCTCTGGACTTGCGTGGATGGTTAGAAGTGAACTGTAAACCCAAGGAACAGTAAAAAAGTGGCTCTGCCCTCGATTTTCAAGCATTGTTGCAGAGAAATAGGTACTTTGCCTACATACTTTGCTTAAAAAAATACACTGATTAAGAATATACAAACTCTGCTAATTAAACAATGCTAATTAAACAATGGCTGTTCCAAGCTTTATTTATGTAAAAAATAAATACTTGAGTGTAGTAGTAAGGGAAGACTTATTAAATACAAGTAATGAAGATTTCCTACCTTGCTTTAGAATGGTTTTGTTTACAGGGATACCACATCCATGTGATTTTAGGCTGAGGAATACCATAGATGGTGCATGTCAGCACTTGATTGCTGCCCAGTAAATACGGATTTGGATCAGGGAATGATGACACAGCATTTTCATATATCTGAGGTTTCACTGTAAAAGATTGGAATTAGAAAGGAATTAATTTCCAATGTAGTGCATTATGCTGAAAATACTGCATTCCTGCAGGGTGAGAAATAAGCAAAATCCCCAGGAGAACACAGGAAAAGAGCAGGACTACTGAGATGAGTCAGATGAACAGTTACTAACTCATTTGAATCATCAGGACCAAGTATATGACCATGGAAGACAGCAACTCTTCTAATGGAAGCAAGTGTCCATCCACTGACTTCAAGATGGGTTTGTCACTCCACATATAGAATCTGGTTTTGGGTCCATAAAAGTCAGTGAGAAAATTCATAATTATTTGAATTGTGCGAGATGAAACATTCACCGAGAATCCAGCATTTACATACTTAGGAGGGAAGATACTATAAACTACCATATTTAGGGAACATACTGTAAACYTACCATTTACTCTAAGAGTGACAGTAAGATTCTTGGACAGGTTCCACTGCCGTATGCTCAATATTATAGTGTAGTTCCCAGCATCTTCTTCAGCAACATCCTTGATGATTAACGAATAGTCTTTTACCATGTACCGGGCACATTTTTCAGCGGCAGGTAGCCCATCTTTTAACCTGTTTAAAAGCAAAATTTTGAAAAACAATGCTGCTTAAACATCTGTTAATTCATTTCATAAAATTCCTCAATCTTTGGTAAAGCATCAAGTTTGTGGTTTGAGCTTCTGTTTACTGGAAGATTATCCTTCACTTACAAAGATTGTTAATATTTATAAAGCATTTCAAAGGATATCATTTTGCATTTTAAAATTGATAGGAATCTGAGAGGACTCCATTGCATTTGAGAGTTAATCAAAATTGCAGCTCCCTCTCTGAAGATTCCAGTTTTCCATGCTTGTGTCTCCATATAGTCTACAAAAGAACCATTCTGGGTAAAAGTCATTTGGGCAAATCAAATTTGCATCATCTAGTACTGACTGTTTCTTTATGACCTCAGAATACATCCCAGGACAAAGCAATACAGTAGCCTGAGTACAGCTGTGATTTTAGGAAGAGGAAGAGTAAGCAGATTAGATAAGCATTTAAGAATCAGATATCCTGCTATCAAKTGGATGTTTTTAAAGATAACAGAAGTCAGCATAGAAAGTACTAGGTGTTGCTCACACACAGATTCTTGAATAAGCAGATTTTTTTTTCAAAGTCCTTTCTCAAAGCACATGTCAGTAGGTTGCTGTGTGAAGACTGGAGTGATATTAGCAGAAGAGTGCAGAGTTCATTATTAAAATAGACTAAATTAAAGGGACTCCATATTTTAGTGAATATTTACAGGAAAGTCTTACAGCCCTTACAGGAGCTTTGAAAATTGGTCTAAGGACTGTGGGAATGTTACACTGTATCTGGATTTTAAGAATCACAGAATGACTGGGGTTAGAAGGCACCTCTGGAGATTTAGTYCAACTAGACAATCCAACTCAAATCCTTGAGTCCAACCCAAGGCAGGATCACCTACAGCAGGTTACTCAGGGCTGTGTTGAGTTGGGCTTTGAATATCTTGTAGAATGGAGACTCCACAACCTCTATAGGCAAGTGRGTGTTTGTTTCTGGTGTTTGACCATCCTCACAGAAAAAAAAAATACATATTAAAAAAATCCACAAAACTTATGTTTAAATGGAATTTTATCTATTTAAGAAGTTTTGGATCTGTATGTGTAGTCAAAAAGCCTAGACATAAAAAGCAAAAAAATCCTGTATCAGTGGTGAACRTCAGCTCCCATTTCTCCACCTAATTTTCCTTGTGGAGCTGTAAATGCAAAGGAGATAGTAAAACAAAACATCATGTTTGGAGCAAAAATAAATTCTGGCTGAGAGCAATGTGAACCCTTACTGTTCATGTATGGGTTGTTTTCTTAATCAGTCTTGTCACACACCCTTTGTTAAAGTTCAATGAATTGAGCTAGAGCTATTGCTATTTAAAATGATTTAAACAACAACAACAACAAAAACCCTGAGATCATGAAGAGATAACATTGTTTTATATAAAGGTGCTGAGGTTAATACCAAACAAAACTGTTAAAAAGATTCCTTAAAATAGTCTATTTGAGCCAAAGTGAAAGCTGTAGTCCCTAAAACCTGTGGATTGCTGTATAATAAACCCAGCTTCCACTGCTTTGCTAAAAGCAAAGCACACTGTATGAGTCTACTCTGTTGTTTTAAGAAAAGCCTTCTTATCACTCAATGTCTAAAAGACAAGCTCAGGTCTCACATCTGAGTCTGAGTGACTTCTGAGTGCATCACTTCATATCAGAAGGGAGATTTATCTGTGCAGTGTTCACTGATTGCAAAAGGAGACAGATATTTGAGCTTTGAAGAATCTGGTTTTCTCTTCCCATTTGCAAAAATTTGGAGATAATATTTTCATAAGTTGTTAAAACTCAAGAAGACCCTTAAAGATCCAGTAACACTGCACAACATTAGTGCCAACTGTTGCAAATTGAGGAATCTTATTTAGCAAATATTTTACCAAGATCTTATTTTTCTTTCAAGAAGAGATGCTGTGTGAAAGTACATGTGGAAAGCTCATGTCTGTTATCATACCATAAAACCTCTGGTGAGGGAAATGCCTTCACTTTCACTGACAAACGATAGGATTTTCTTCCAGCTACAGCCTCCAGCGTGGTTTTTCTTCGATGTTTCAAATTAATGAACACTTTATCTTAAAGAAACAAAAGAAAAAGAATGTAGCTATATCACTGATTTGCAGCCTGTAAAAAGAATTGCTATACTAAGAAGAAAGAGATGTAAGTAAAAATAAATATTAATTAAATATCTTTACTAATCTCAGTAGTCACACCACACCAAGAATATAACCAAAATTCCTAGAGATTTATCTGTCGTAAAAGTTCACCACAAATAGACAAGATATTGCTCCCAGGCCATGGACCTGTCTACAGAAGATATACTCCATCCTAATACAAGCTTCTTTGGGTCAAAAAAAAAAAAAAAAAGGCACTGGTTTCAACACAAATGTGTCTACATGATGTTAGCTGGTATGTAATATGTGGGAAGAAGAACTAGGTGAATAGAGAACCCTTTTCCCCTTGAAAGCCAAGAATCAATGAATATTTCAAAAGAAAATATTCTGCCAGAGAGGATTTGAGTTGTCTTCAGAGAAACAGTGAAAGAAAAAGAGAGATTTTTTTCTGGATCATTGGTGAACAGCTGTTTCAAACAAACAAATCTTCATCACTTCATTGGAACAATCTCAACCTGCTGGAATTTGTTCTTTTTCCAGTTGTACTGCCCCATATTTCAAACTCACTGGCAAGTTGTCTGATTTCATTAGAGGCGATACAACATAATGTTGGTACAATACATTGGAAGCACTTACACGAAGTAAAAATATTCAAAAGATGAAAATTTGTTTGAATGTGCTTTTATAGTGCCTAGAGCACAGTATTTAATTGTATAATGGTTTAGATTTTTGATATCCACTAAATAAGTGTAATATTTAATTGCATTTTTGGCATATATTGAAAATAGCACACRCAAGACAGCTCAGTAGTTTAATTCCATAAGTCATTTAGACCTAAGTATWCAACCCTGATCCTGAAAACCCTTATTCGCAGAAGGGTTTCTCTTACTACTATGGATATCTCCTAGACTGCTGGGATCATGTGAATAAGATATTATAGGTAGCTTTGATTGTAAAATTAATTTTAAAGTCTAGTTCTGATGGCTTTAGGCTTAATTATTTCAGAATAGAAAAGTGGATATCATGATTCATCTTGTGCTCTGACTTAGTCCAAGTTTAGAGAAGAGCAAATGAACTGAAAGTCTCCTAGCAAATTCTACCAGGTGGTGCTTAGTCCACACTTTCAGACGAGAGAAAGAAGGTAAACGTCACTAAACACCTGGAAAAAAAAAATCAAGATTCTGACTGYGAGTCATCTGGCACCTATAAATTCCTTTTTGTCATGAACAAAGGTCAGAGGATCCTGAATCATCCTAATTGCGGCAGGATGCCACAAAGCATATGGCTTCTCATAGATAGTCAATGCAATAAAGTTGAAGCAATATCAGAAATCTCTAGATCTTATGGATTTCCAGATGCAGAAGTCCAAACACACTGCAGGGAATTAGTTTAAGTCTCCTGTGGTAAAATCACCTAAGTGAGTTGCAGTATCTTGTGATTGTTTCCATTTTTAAACAGTCTAGGAGGTATGAACTCCATTAAGAGTTTGTGCATCTATCTCTCCATGTTTCATATAAGACAACAAGGAATGAATGAAAAGGAATGGTCGTGCATCTGCTCCTTCAAAAAAAATGTGTTAATTCAAGACAGGGAATAAACTCCACAGAAGAGAAGCTGATATTCTTCTATTTAAATTAACCTTGTGTATAGTCATTTGGTAAATGTTGTTTATCTTTTTGCTTCTGCCAGAACTGAGTACAGGGTCATCACARTACTTGCCAGACAAAAGTGATCCAACTGTTCATTAACAAGTCTAGTGCCAACAAGAAAAAGCAGTCAGGAAACAAAAGGCACATATTCCCTGTAGTCTCCCACTGTCTTCTACCCAACACTAGCACACTATAAATCCACTTCCACTTTGCTTCAAGATATAAAGATATTGCCTGACGAAATTTTGCATGTGACCATTCAGTAGCCTACAAATACAAAGAATTTCTTACCATAAACAAGGACTGTTGTGTTAACAGATTTGATTGATGGCCCACTCTTCACATGACAGGTATACTGGCCTCTATCAATATCACGCACCCTTTCAACAATGAGGATACTGTAGAAACTATTGGCTTCTGTGTTCTTCTGGTCAATACGTTGGGTTATAGAACCTCTCTTCCTTGCCTATGCAAACAAAAACAAACAAGAAAAAGTTCACTCAAATCAACTATCATGACTATTAAGACTTTTCTTTTGCTCTACTGCTTCCAACCCTTAGAAAAATCCAGATCTTGCTGTATAGTGCAGATATGCAAAAGAAGCCTAACATTTCCAAAGGTTTTACAATAAAAACTAATGTTATATATGGCAATTCAATCTTATTTTAATTCACGTTGCAATGATATCCAAAATAGTTCTTCCCAGATGAAGATCATCCATTCTGAATGGCCTATCATACCAGGAAGCTCAGCTCCCTGCTGAGCTCAGTTCCCCCAGCTTCCCTCAGGAAACCCCAGGGCCACCATGTGCAGAGAAACACATAGTCTGGTGCTTGGATGCAGTGTCTGTAGGCAGCAGACATGTAGAAGATGAGTGCATTAACACAAGAAGGGGAGAATCCTGGAAACGCTACAGATGGAAAAGTGACTAGATTTGGCAGAAGCATAGCAGGGTGGAACTGAAGATAATGTGAGTCTGAAGAGTTATTTCCTGCAACTCCCCCCAGCCTTTGGCCTCAAAGTTTATTTAACCCAGGACATTGTTGTTATGTTGTAAACACCGAGCACCCTTCAGTTGCCATCCAAATGAAAACAAAGCAGAGTTTAACAAGTGTGGGCTTGGTAAGGCAATAATGACCAAATATATTATATTTGGAGCCTTCTTGTTGCTAAGTTGTTTATTTCTGACGTGAGAAACATGCCAGGGAAAATGGTTACAGTATGAAAGAAGTGATTGCATTAATCTTTCCTATATAATGTAATCATAATTTTAGCTTGTGATTAGGCACAATGAGTGACATAATAAACGATCTTGACTTGAATCACCAGCATAAATCAAGTTGACATGAAAGGAATGGGAGTTGTTAGCCCTAAACTAATGTAAAATTTCTTATCAGCTTTACATGGAGTCCCTGGCAGTTATTCTGTAAGTGACAAATATTTATGAGGATGCTCCCAATGTGAGGGGAGAAGCACATTCAAGATCATTCCTGTAGTTGTCAAAACAAGAGGACTGTCATGTGACACTTAACAAATGAGATGTTGGCTAGCTAAATCAAAATATCTTTTCTAAACATGCTTGTGTTGGGTGCCTGATTGTCTGCCAGTCTTTCAGATGAATGTGCTGAGAAAGACAGCTTCACTGAAAACTTTTTTTTGTCATAAGAGAGAGCTGCTGCCTGGACTTGGGTGATAAATTTCCCATTGTTTCGCTGGGTAAAGCAACTCCCAAGGATGAATCCAGCCTAGGGTTCACTTGCAATTATGCAGCGTAGCAAAGTACATTGTGTAAGCGTGTTTACTTGTTCAATTAAGCACACAAAAAAGAAAAGAAGACATAAAACGACATGTCAGCAAGGGTCACAACTGTGGAATGCAAACCATGGCAAGCATTTTGAAGAAAAATTCCTCTTGAGGTGCTGGATAGAGCACAATTGACAGGAAACCCCCCCAGGATTTCTTCACTTCAACCCCAGCACTCACCTCTCCAGGGTAAGTCCACGTCATCTGCACTCTCGTGTTCCAGGCTGCCGTGACAGTGCAGTTAATGGCCAGGCTGTCTCCTTTGAGCAGCTTGACTAGTCGCGGGGTGCTTAACTGGACGTCAAAAATTGTATTGGCTGGATGTCATGAAGAGAAAGAAAAATGAGTACCTCTACCCCAGCACGGTGCTTTCTGCTTGTCAGCGACTGGAGGATGCTACTCACTTTCTCGGTGTGTTAGATACTTCGTGCTGTACTTGTGTCCCCCGAGAGTTGTCTCACAGCTCAGAAGCCCTATGAATTTGTATGTTGCCTTAGGTATCCTGAAACCTTTCATATTGTCCCAGATTATTGTCTTGCCATCAGGAATTAGAGTTTCTCGTGGAATCTGAAAGTGGCAAATGAACAAAATAAAAATGACTTATCTTCATGTCCCTCTCTAATCAAAACAACCTAACAGAAAGGAATGAAAAAGAATTATAAAAAAGACAGCCAAAGAGCCAGGATAGCATTTAATTATGCAGATTTTTCAAGTCACTTTTTATCACAAAACAAAAGAAAAAACTGAGTGAAGAATGTGAATGTTTTATTTGTTTCCAAGATTTCATTATTTATAACAGGATGTAATTTATGACACAATAGACTGACACTGTCATTAGTCTCAGTGCTTAGGCTGCTATCCTCTTAGCTTCCAGTTGGCAGCTAAAATGCTTGTCTCAGAAAACCTTTGCAATTAAGTATCCTGAGAAAAAAATACACATTTCAGTGGAGGTGACAAATGCACTTAATTTGACATCATTTTGTGCCTTTAACAATTCATGCCCATATTCAATTTGATGCTTGGGTTGTTTAAGTGGTCTAAAGAACAAGTCTGATAATAAATAAGTAAAAGAAGGAAAGGGAAAGGGAAAGGGAAAGGGAAAGGGAA